TTGTCACGCACCGAAACTGGGATGGACGTGATGGTACTCAACCTATTTACCCATTTAGTTAACCATGTTTTAATTGGCTAATAATCACTTGTGTACCGTATAAATATAATTGTCTGAAAAACTGAATAGCAATTCAAATGATAAAACGTCTACAAAGCTAAACTCACTAGTCAAATCATGAGCCTCTACTATAATCTAAAAACATGAAACTTTGGAGGCATTCCTCGGGGATAATATAAATGTTTAAATTATATGAAAGCGTGAGAAGAGGTCCGCTACCGCTAGAATGAATCTACAGAGCCTGCACTTTGAGTCTAGAAAGCATGTGTCTAACCACAGACTTTGTCACTTACGTACTCAACTCCTTCCACATGACATGACAAGCCCAAACATGCTAAGTATCTCCAAGGATACTCAATATATCTCGTTGATAACCCCCTAAGCGGAGGATAAGGCTAGCCTGAGTTATATATAAGTATATTAAAATATAGCAAGTAGAGCAGAGAATTCACATAGTAAAACTGAATAATCTGAAAGCGAAAACTAATTATGAAAGCTGAATATAAACTGATAACTAAAAGCTAAAGCTAATTAAAAACTGAGTTTGCATTTGATAACTAAATATAAAGTTGAAAACTGAGTCTAAAATTGATATATCACACTGAAGCTGAAAGCTGAGTTACTTTTAAAGAAATAATATTTTGAAAAGACTTACCCATAGTGGTTCTGTATGTGTGAGATCTAAGTACATACGCAGGAACTGCTAAAGCTGTTATGAGCCCTCTAATTATGTTCACTCAAGCTTAATTCATATGTGGGATCATCGTGTAGCTCAATCAAGATCAACTCATCTGAGTGTATTAGTAGCGCATCTGGCTGTTCTCACTCAAGCTCAACTTATATTTGGGGATATCGAGCAGCTCAATCAAGCTCAACCTATCAGAGCGTATTAACATCTACAATCATGGTGTAGCTAACCCTGGCCACCGTGGCATTCATGCTCGGGGAGGTTGGCTACTTCTCCCTTTTTAAATGTGACCACAGTAATCTAAATCTGAAAAGAAAGTATAAGCAGTACAAGCAATTGTACATAAATTAGCAATCATAATACATCATAAAAATTAATTATTTTTTGTTCTGAATCTGAATTGAAGGTCTAATCTTTACAAGTAAATTTACATAAGCAAATAATTACACATAAGCAAATAATTGAAACAAGTCATACGATCTAATCTTTTTCTGTTGTAGATGTTTTCTATTATATATATAGTTTATTCTAAATAGTACGGTAAGCAAGCAAGCAATCGAATATGCACTTTCTAATCTAGCCTTGACATAGGGAAGAAACCTCAACGCATCTGAATCAACTGTGAAGAACATCTACTAACTGACTCGTGTATTCAATCCTTTCAAAAATCTATAATTAAAAGTTAAAACCGAATTAATCTACATTTCATTCTCAACTTGTTTTCCTAAATTATATTTTACTTGGCCATAATTGGTTTCACATTGTTTTTACCCATGGACTTCATCATTCTTATTATCTAAATATTATTCTAAATATTATTCTATGCCGTAAAGTTTTTAAGTCTAATAGTAGAGTGTAAAGAAAATACATTTGAATATTATTCTAAAAATTCCTAGGTATTGGGTCTTGAAAAACTCCCTCAATTCTTGATGGAAACCTAAGGATTTGGAATTTTTAGGTGTTAGATGATTTTAATCTAGTATTTTTAACTTGAATCTCTGATAAAAATCTTATCTTGGGCGGAGAGGTATAGTTTCCCCTCAAAAGCTCTCCAACCTGTAGAATAAAGTAAGTAATTCTCTTTCCGAAGTGCCCTTTTATTTACACATTACAGGGTCATCCAGACAAAAAATTATTCTGCCGTATCGCGCGTTGCATCGCATGGCGCCCTGCGATAAGAGGGATCTTTAGAGATTTAAATTCCTGTACTTTTGGCCAAAATTTAGCATGTCGCGTCGCGCTACGTGTTGCGAGGCGCGTCCTGAGAAGGCATTTTTTTCCTCCGGAACCATATTTCTTCTATGCTATCCTTTAGTAAAAAGGTGATAATGTCTTGTAGAAATATGGGAACAATGAACGATTTAAAGTTCGAAAAACTAGACCCAAAGATTTTTCATTTGATGTATGGATCATAGCTCAACTCATCATACATTGGGAGATATAATTGTCTGAAGTTATGTATAACTATGTTCGCTTTCTTCTCTTAAGTATTTTCAACTTGTACCAAATTACTTTTGTCCTCTTTTAAATATTCATATGACCTTCCGAACATAAGATCTAGATATTATATACTTTCATAACTTTCTCGTGTATCTAACTTAAGAGTCTCAACAAGGACGTAATGCTTAATGAAAAATTTTCTGAGGTATTACACAAACAAACAAGCATGGCACACATGTATATATACAATACGCACTAAATAATACTCCTCTCGGTCCATAATATCTATCTTTTAATATTTTTGCACAATATTAAGAAAGATTTATGATAACCTTAATCGAAAGAGTATTTATCAAAACCAGTCTTCATCTTTTAATTGGAACTAAATTAATGGATCTGAAACAGTGAGGCTAGATCTGAAAATAATTATACATAAACGACTTCTTGTTTTTTTTTAAAAAAAAATTCTAAAACAATTCAATTTGCAAAATGATTAATACTTGACACCAGATCGAGGTAGTAATAATTTGTTAATATTTATTATTTTCATTAATATTTTCCTCTGAAAGAAATGGCTGAGAAAGTGAGGCATATTTATATTAATAATAATTGATGGTAAAAAAATAAGAGTTCAAAATGTGCCTGTCAAGCACGCATTTCATTGTCAAGGTAGACCTAATTAGAAGCATTATCCAGCAGAGAAGGGTAAAATGGAATGTCATTTGTCAAACAATAAAGTAATGACACTTGATCAGGTCTACCAATTTAATAACAAAAAGAGAATATAGGAAAAAATTGGATCGGAAAAGATGGGTGGGGAAAATATATAAATAGGGCCTTCGTACATGAGATGTTCTACAACAAAATTAGACTGTGTAAGTGTAAGTGTAAGTATAAGTATATTGTCATTTCCTTTTCTTTTTTTTGTCCAAACTTTATCAATTAGGTCAAAAAATTGTCAATCCACCAAAAAAGATGGAAGGGAAAAGAAGGGAGAATAAATACTCACTAACTACTCTAGCTCAAGTGAAGTAATTGCCAACGACATTTTCTTGTCATGAATATTTGCAGTTTGACCATACATCACATTCTTTCACATTGATGGCAAGAAATTAATAACTTTTTGACACCTTAATTGTTTAATTTTGTTAATAATTACAGAAATGATCTTCACTTGAGGCTTTTCCAACGATACCAAAATAGAATATTTGTATAGTTATGACTAGGAAGATGGATCTCATCAGAAATAATCTTAAAATTCAAATTTCCACATTTTAAGTAAATTGATATCCTCGGTTAACAAAAAGAAGAAAAACGTGGGAAAAACAAACTTTTTCGGAGTACTTGTCTTGTTAAGTTTCTTTTGAAAAGCTCTTTTCAAAAATGCCTTTTTAAAGAACCATTTTAGACCACACTCAAAATTTTGAAAAACAAACTTCACCTATGCAGAGATATTTTTGATTTGCATAAACTTTTCTCAAGAACATATACTCATAGAAACTTATGTTGAAAAAAATTGTACAAAAGCCCCCGAATATTACAAAGTTTTTTGGAGGTCTTTTTTGTGCGATGATGAAATTTAACTTTTGCATGTGCAAAGAAATGACAACATGCACGATCAGTTTGTGGACCTCGTCTTGACCTTTTTGCCTATAAAATATATGATGGGTCAAAAAAACTATTTTTTGATGTAACTTCTTATAAGTATAGGTAATACTATAAATCATAAGAAGCTAAGCATGGGTTCACTAATCATCAGATTCGAAAAAAAGTTTGAAAGTCATTTTTGCGTAAATGTTACCCTCAACAACCACAATTAGTCTATAATTTATTGAAATAATCTCATTTTGAAATTCTAATAAAATATATTTGAAATGAGACTAGAAAAAGTGCATTTTACATAATAAATTAGGCACTAAGCGAAGTAGATATACCTTGATGTAATGGAAAGTAAAAAAGATCGTGTCCGTAATATTTAAATTCGATTTATATCGAAGATAGCGGCAAACCTACAAAATTTTGAATTATGCGAATTTACCTAAGAACAAAACAAAACGTATAGCAAAATTTTATAAAAGTAAGTCCGACGAATTGAGATTAAGGTTTAATCTTCGTGTTCATACACTTGTTTATAGAAAATCGTTTTACAATGGTATTTATTTATGCAAACATAAACAAAAATATTGGCAAATTAACTAGAGTTTAAGTTCTATGTATTTATATTCTAAAAAATATTTACACAATCAAATCATTTATTAGATAAATTATATTTATTAGATAAATTATGCTTTTTGATAAATATCAATTAAAATATGATAAAGATAATAATTACCCTGCTATTACATATTTAAATTTTTTTAATAGGGTAAAAGAAAGTTATAATAGCAGATTATAATAGTAGTACATAACTTATAGCATGTTTGGCCAAACTTCACCAATACTAGAAGTACAAAAAAATATTTATTTTTCAAAGTTGATTGTTTGGCCAAGCTTTTGTAAGAAAAAGTACTTTTGAAGAGAACCACAAGCAGAAACAGTTTTAGAAAAGTAGAAAAAAGTAGTTTTTTCCAAAAACACTTTTTTGAAAAATACTTTTGAGAAAAAAAACTTAGAAGCATTTTTTAAAAGCTTGACCAAACTGCTCAAAAGTATTTTTCAAATTAATTAGCTAAACACAAACTATTTTTCGCCAAAAGCACTTCTCAAATAAACTTATTTTTGCGGCTTGGCCAGACTATTAATCCAATTAATTATTATTGTACTACTTTTAAAGGTTCATAATACAAGTTAGTTAGTTGTATCTCCTAACAAAAAGCCTAAATCCAGGGACCCTACTGGAGCAAGTCTGCAACCACCCCTCTCTCTTCTCACTCTGCATTTCTTCTTCACTTGCAGAGTTTCCACTTCACCTAATTCTCTTTGCAAATTCTCCCATTTGCTCTCTTGTCTGCTGCTAACACAGATCTAACTCCTACTCTTTCACCTTAACCAAAAACGCTTCAGCTCCTCACTGTTCCATCTTTGTATTCTTCAATTTGAACAAAATATGTGGGTACTACACCTGTGTTCCCGTAAGGTTTGTGGGAACTGTTATTTTCACCTCCCACCTCAGCATTCATCTTAGAATTGTTTTACCCCATCTGACAAGGGTTTTCTTGAAATTCCAAATGTTTCGAGGTACTATAATTCAGTTGGTGTTTTTTTTTATTTTGTTTGTGAAATTTATATTCCTGCATTTCTTCAGCTTGGTGAATTTCAGCTGCTTTTGGTAACAGATCTGTTTTACAATTAGCAAGACCATGTTTCTGTATTTGGGTACTCTCTATTTGCTGGAAAATGTTGAATCAACATTTTTGAGGTGTTAAAGATTTGTAAATTTTTGGAGAGCACTACTGTGAGTACTAAAAGTATCCTAAAATAACATTTCCTTGAGGTTTTTTTTTTTTTTTGGAATTAGTTGCTAAGTTCCAGTTTGAGATCTTATCAAATAAAGATATTGGGGCCTTGAGATTTTTAATTTGTGAAATTGAAGTCTTAAAAAAGTTTTTTTCTCGTTTGTTCTTACTTTTCTGATGACACTAGTGCTCCAATTAATGCCTGGTTATAGTGTGCCTCGCCTTTTATTTTCTTAAAAATTATTTTTGTTGCAATCATTCGTCCATCTGTAAAATTTGCACCCACTTCCTTGTATAATAAGCAAGCCTTTTCACTACTTTGTGGTATAGAAAGTGAAGAAAAAAGGTTTTATGTTTTTGCTTTTCCCCTCTCTTGGATTCTCATTTTGTGTTTTGCTTTAGGATATTGCTTCTTTAGTTTATTCATTCAAAGTTTTTTCAGCCATTTTGTGGGCTATCATTTTCGATTTTATTATGGTTTAGAGGAACTTTAATCATAATGTCAAAATTCACTTTGTACCTTATTAGTGATGGTTGTGCTCTGTTCAAATACTATTGAGAAATTTCAAAAAAGAAAACTATCTTTGCGTTGAAACTCATTTGTAGATTTATATTTACCCTTTTTCTGTCTTTCTAAAATCATTGGTTTAATCCGTTTCTGCCATTTTATACGCTTTTGTGTTTGAACCTCTCAAAATCTATTTCAGAATATCCCCATTTTATTGTCTCAAAACAGATAACTGTATCTACTATCCGAAGTATTCAACTCTGTATGTTCTTTTACGTAATATGTGAAGATACTGCATGTTTGTATGTTCTTCCTATTATTTCAGTTTACAGGATCGCTGGTTCCGATCCAAGTAAATAAGAGATTGATGAGCTTTTGAATCAGCAAGCTGTTCTTATGAAATATGATTTGTGACAAACACATTTTTTATGCATCAAACTCATTCTGAGATTTGGCAGACTAAATTTTTTTTTTTCATTCTCAAATGGAAAAGTCATTTGTTTTATTGGCCTTTTTCTGCAGCTAGTGAAAAATGTAGTTGCACATTTGTGGTGATTTGACATTATTGAAAATTATTGGAATTCTGTTCGTTTCTCATTTGATCCAGAACACTAATCCAAATATTCTTTCTACTTCGTCTCACTGAAGTCTATAGAGACTTTAAAGGCTTATGTGTCTGTGAAGTCAATGTGATGTTGTATACTCTCATTCTCTCGCTGTCGTCTTTATGTTTGTTGCGTTTGCTTATCTCACGTTCTTTATCTGCTGTACTATCCCAGGTAAACCGCATCATTGGCAGCATTGTTGCTTTCAATCAATTGAATGTTTCCTCATGAGAATCTGCTCAGCTTGTCAACTGCTGCCTGCCCTTTTGGTTGTAGCAACACTTCTTCCCCTGACTCTTGGTGATCTAGACTCTGATAAGCAGGCNGACTCTGATAAACAGGTCCTTCTTGCCTTTGCTTCTGCAGTTCCCCATGGCCCGAAGATCAACTGGAGTCCTGCCACCCCTATATGCTCATCTTGGGTAGGCATTACTTGTAGTGAAGATGGGGCCCACGTAGTGGCTGTACGACTTCCAGGAGTTGGACTCACTGGTCCACTCCCACAAAATACTCTTGGAAAGCTGGATTCTTTAAGGATTATCAGCCTTCGAGCAAATCGACTCAATGGAAATCTTCCTGTGGAGATCACCTCACTTTCTTCCCTCCAATACCTTTTCCTCCAGCACAATAACTTCTCCGGACCTATTCCTGCTTCTTTTTCACATAAACTGAATGTTTTGGACCTTTCATATAATTCTTTCATTGGTAAGATTCCCGTCACTTTTCAGAATTTGACTGAACTATCTGGTTTGAGCTTGCAGAATAATTCGCTTTCTGGACCAATTCCGAATTTCACCCTCCCAAGGATTAGACATTTAGATTTAAGCTACAACAATCTTAATGGTTCTATTCCATCATCCCTCCAAAAGTTCCCCAACTCTTCATTTGAGGGGAACTCACTCTTGTGTGGGCTTCCCTTAAATCCCTGTTCCCCTCTTTTACCACCGTCCCCTTCCCCGAACATTCCTCCCAAACAAAGCTCAAAGAAGAAACTGAAATTAGGAGTTATTATTGCTATTGCTGCTGGAGGGACTTTGCTCCTCTTTCTGGTGGTTCTAGTCATGTGTTTGTGCTGTCAAAAAAGGAAAGAAAGCAGTGGTAGAGGTGTGTTAAAAGGGAAGTCCTCGAGCGGAGGCAGAAGTGAAAAGCCCAGGGAAGAGTTTGGTAGTGGGGTACAAGAAGCTGAGAAAAATAAGCTGGTTTTCTTCGAAGGCTGCTCTTACAATTTTGATCTTGAGGACTTGCTAAGGGCTTCTGCTGAAGTTTTAGGAAAGGGGAGTTTTGGAACTGCATACAAGGCTATTTTGGAGGAGTCAACGACAGTGGTGGTAAAAAGATTAAAAGAAGTCATTGTTGGGAAGAAGGACTTTGAACAGCAGATGGAGATTATTGGCAGAGTTGGGCAGCATCCAAACACTGTCCCCTTGCGTGCTTATTATTACTCCAAGGATGAAAAGCTACTTGTGTATGACTATTTCTCACGGGGTAGTTTGTCTTTACTCTTGCATGGTAATGCATTTTCTTCTTCCTCTTTTTCTTTCTCTGTCACTCAGTATTTGGTAGATCAACTTGATACAATCTTTATGATTCAATGACTGAACTCTTGCATTGGAGACAAACTGCACTTTTATGATTCAATGACTGGACTCTTGCATTGGAGACAAACTGTGCCAAACTGATGACAGAAATATATTCATACTGAATCTGAACCATTCTAATTCATACTTGAAAGTTGAAGACTGGTTTTTTCTGGTTGAAACTTAAAAATGAGGAAACCATATTCAGGGTGTATATGCATGTATATGGGGATCTTTTTTTCTAATGTTTGTCTATATGTAGTTGTTCTACGTGAGGCAGGGTATGGAGATCCTTAGCCATATTTTGCTCTTGGCAACTTTCTTATATCTCTGATGTCTTGTTTACTTCATTAGCTACACATCTTGCTGCTATTCTAGCTGAAAGCTGGTAGATACCGAAAATCTGGGAGCGATCTCATAATTTGTATCAATTCACTTCTCAATGTTTAAAATGCTGCTTGTGCAGAAACTGAATAGGCTCATCTAATTCCATGTTGAATTCCAATGTCATAACAGGGAGCCGGGCTGCTTCTGGAAGGACACCACTGGACTGGGAATCAAGAGTGAAAATATCACTTGGAGCAGCAAGAGGGATCACCCATATCCATTCAATGGGTGGTCCAAAAGTTACTCATGGAAATATAAAATCCTCTAATGTCCTCCTCAACCAAGATATGGAAGCTTGTGTCTCTGATTTTGGTTTAGCGCCTGTTATGAACTTTCCTGCAGCTCCATCTCGTCATCCAGGGTATCGCGCTCCTGAGGTCATTGAAACACGGAAGCACACTCATAAATCAGACGTGTACAGCTTCGGTGTCCTAATGCTCGAGATGCTTACAGGGAAGCAACCAATTCAATCACCAGGGCGTGACGACATGGTTGATCTCCCTAGGTGGGTGCAGTCAGTCGTCAGGGAAGAATGGACCGCTGAGGTCTTCGATGTCGAACTGATGAGATTTCAGAACATCGAAGAGGAGATGGTGCAGATGCTTCAAATTGCCATGGCATGTGTTGGAAGGGTGCCAGACATGAGACCCACCATGGATGAAGTTGTTAGAATGATAGAAGAAGTCCGACAATCTGACTCCGATAATCGGCCATCTTCAGAAGAGAATAAGTCCAAGGACTCAACTGTGCAGACCCCTTGATTCCTTGGACCTCCGAGTTACAACTTGTAAGTCGTGAGATATTCATCCAATTCAACAGCTTTTGTGCCTCCTAAGGTTCTTGAATTCAGCCTTACGAGTGTATGCAGCTGCTGAAAGAGTGTGCATTTGCTGATTTGTTTTCTATTTAGGCATTATAGTGGACTAATTGGTACTCTGTCCGAAATTTCACAATTCTTTCTTTTCTTTTTGTTTTCTTGGTTTGTTTAGATCATATTATCATTTGATTGTAAGCTTGTGCACTTTATCAACAGCTAAATTGATGATCTCTCTTTTTCAGCAAACATTCATTTGGAAAGAATGACTTCTCAAAATGTTAGTCAAGGCAATGAGTTTGAAATTTCTTCAAGAGTTTAAGCGCTGTTTGGTTTTAAAACTAAAGCCATCCTCTTTACAGGCAAAACAAAAGGTAATCGTCCCGAAATTAAGAGTCCGTTTGGATGGGCTTATTTTAAGTGACTTTTAAGCCAAAATAGTTTTTAAGCCATAAGTTAGGAATTCTAACTTTTGGCTTTTGGCTTGTTTTTATCATTTTAGCTTAAAAACAAGTGCTTAAAAACACTTTCTTACTCTATCCAAACACTACAAAATGGCTTAAAAGTTATTTTGGCTTAAAAGCATTTAAAATAAGCCAATCCAAACGGGCTCTAAATAACGAAGTGACACATCTGCGCTTCTTTAGTGCTTTTCTTCTAAAGTGTTTAAGGAAGGCCGGGTTAAAATTGAAAAGTTTATCCAGATTAACCTAATTTAAACCAACACATTTTATTATGCCATGTATATTTCAATTTTAATAATGAACTAAACATCTACCAATAAAAGTATATTAACTAAAGAATTTTTTCATTATTTAACCCCTATATTATAATCTCGTTATAATCTTAGGATAACACTTATTCCAAGGAAAATATCAAACATAACAAATAAAATATATTAACTGTATGCAATAACAAGAAAAACATCTAGCTCCACTTGTATGAATATTAAAGCGGTGCCACTTAAAATAAGATTTAGAAGGTTGATCCTGTAAATATGCATGTGTCTCTATCAAATGACTATTTTCGAATTTAATTGTTAATGTTTTTAAAGAGATATACATGAGTAGAGTGTGTCACGACCTTTTGTATTTAGTAATTAGCACTCCAGGAGTCGGACGCAATGCGAAGCTACTCATGACCTCAAACTGCCGAATCAGATGTAATTGCTCACCAGTCGGGTCCTTACATTCTCCCCCACTTAAATATACGTTCGTCCTCGAACGTGCCAGGAGTCGTTCCAAAGCTATCAAATCACTGCATGAGCTCACCATACATACACCCGGGGTGATTCCACGTCACCCCAATCTATGTTGGCCTGACAATGCCACTTATCTGAAGATTTCACTTCATCCTTAGTCCATAGCCTTAGGACATGACCCAATCCTCAACATCTGAAACTCATCATAGGACCCGAATCTCGCATCAATATACTGTATAAGCCTGAACAAGCTGAATCGAGCTACAATCCTAACCCAGGGTACAATCACATGATGCTCCACCCAACTCAAATCCCCGCTACAATAACTTCCGACCACCATAGTTGTCCTATAACAATCTTGGTACCGACAATACACTTCAAATCAAATAAAACTTTGTTCCGGACCTCCGCAACGCTGCCCAAGATAAAAGAACATGCAAAAACTCATAACCACCAATGAAATCAACAAGCCAGAAGCTCTCTCGTCCGTCAAGGGCCATTGACCAATTCTGAGCGGAAATAGCATCACCCTTCCAAACACTCCTCATCTCGATACGATAGTGCAAATCTCAGGTCTAGAAACCTCATCTCAGCCGATACAAGCAACCCAACTGACAACTCACCCCGAAACCATACGGATTCTCACACAATACGGTCCGTACACCAAACCATTAATAACTCAGATATTCAACAAAAATAGAAGGAAAGCAAGGTACGGGGACTATCTAACAAGTACAACAGATATAACAACAAAAGTACAATTTCATTAACTCATCCCACAGAGGGAAAACAAAACACCAAATAAACACAAGGGAAAGGGTATCCCACATAACATCCCTTGCGGTGTGCAGCCTGATCCCAAATATATCAATCCACATAGGGATACCTATCACGCCAAAGTTCTCGGGTTCACTGACCACATGAATGCCGATATCAAGCACGATGGAGTGCACAAATATAATCGTGGGAACATGAATAGAAATAATACAACATGGAGGAAAGCAAGCACAACTAAGGTGCAATGAGCAAATAAACATCACGAGGACCATCTTGCCCATATCGCCATAAGGCCTAAACGGGATTACAACATGCGTGAGAATAATCATACAACCTCACAGCCCATCATAGCATAAGAGAGGAGCACATAACATAGACTGGGGCCACAAATAATATCCATTCTACTCGGTAACATGACCATGATATCAACTTCACAAGAGTACCCAAACCCGATCCGATATAGAATACATATTCCCATTGGGCTTTCAAATAGCCCCCAAACCAATTTTGATCATTCCCAAACAAGTAAATATCCTTCCAAAAGTCCATAGCAACCTATCCATAATATATTCCATCAGTTATCCCATTCTCAACATTTCTTCACAATCCGCAACCAAGAAATGGTCCGCCTACGAGGACATCCAGCCCCGAAACCTCATGAATACCATAATTTCCATACCCGATCTCAACTACGCTACTCAAATGGATGATACATCACTCACACTCCATCATCTTACGAAAGCACCCACGCCAGTCTCCCATGCTATGTATCAAAACCCGGACCTCAGAAGCCTCAAAACCTGGTAATCACCATACTACTAGCCAAACATCCGCAAACCAAAACATGAGGTGCCTTCCTAAAATGCACGCTCTTCACATGTGATATCCAATAATGCCAGCGTTTAATTAACTTCTGATATCCATCTAGCAAAAAACCATAATGCACAACATATTCCTTATGCCCGTAGCAGACAACTGACTCAAGCCGTGGCCGACAACATCAAGAACTTTTCGAGACCCGCCCGCACATAACTAATCCATCAGGACCGAATCTTCCCAACTCAACCGAGTCACACAAACCGTCCAACCCAAGAGTACTACCACAACAACCAGTAGAGAATTACCACCCAAAAAGGACCAATTACTTCCATCGCTATGCTGACCCAACACCACCGAGCTGACCCATTTCTTCGGATACTCTTCGACTTTCCTTTGGGTAACACTTCTTCCTGTTGATACACAACGATCCCAAAACCAGAGCTCAATGCAGAAAATCCTAGCACGAACCACGTAGCCCAGAAGATCATAAACCACCATATTTCCTCTTAAGCACCCCATAATGCCGTAGCCGAGATGCCCACGCTGAAGAGACCTTCTGTGAATCTGCAATTGCTTCTCTGACCTCTCCGATACTGAAATGTAGATATATTAATGATGCAGAAATACCGCAAGTCCCAGCATTATCCCACGCAAATCTCATATTTTAATCATATACAAATTTTGGGGAACCTTTCAATACCACACATATACATATCAGGCCAAAACTGATATAACACATGACCCTGTAATCTGATTGTCGATAGTGGACTCCCCCACTTGGCGCGAAGCCATAGGACATAACATCCGATGATCCATAATACTAACCTTCACAACTCGTACAACACCCATCATAAGATACCCCAAGTCATCTACTAAGCGCATGTCCATCCTCGTGACAGCCAAACTCACTTCCTCCAGTGCGTTGAATGATAATATGTACCTTCCACAGAGTAAAAATCCCATACGAACCACATAGTCTCTAATACCACAAACTATTCTCAAATCAACATCCACCTCGTTACCCTACCATGATCGCGATGACTCGTGAACCAATTAGACCTTCCCAAGCTCCTACTTATCAACCAGATGCCAGAACCCGCAGCACCCCCACGTGATCAACTGAATGATCTCTCAATACCTCCGCATCTTCAATATGGATGACACATTGAGACAATGTTTGAGCATCCCTGTCTCCTTCGTGGTCCATCCACAGCATCACGAACCGTCGGCGCCTAGCTCATACCGAGGGCGTAATATCATACACGACTGGATACAAAGGAATATAAGATATATGCTTCAAGCTGAATGAATGCCGCACAATAAGGAATGAAAGAAGTGAAATTTTCTAATAGTTTCCGTAGCCTCTCGAAGATAAGTACATACATCTCCATACCGACCCGAAAGACTCTACTAAATATTCTTATGACTCGTAGCACCTATGAACCTAGAGCTCTGATACCAACTTGTCACGACCCCAATTCCCACCGTAGGATGTCGTGATGACACCTAGTCATTAAGACTAGGTAAGCCTAAGACATACTGATAAATAGTGGAATTTAACTAATCTTATCTGCAATACATTAAATAATATCTGAAATAACGTAGTTGAACCGACATCAGTTACATAAACCCAAGACCGGTAGTACAAGTCATAAGCCTTTCTAAGAATAAAACTATATAATAAATACATCACTATTTTGGAATGATAGGAAACAATGGAAATGAAATACAACAGAAGGTGACTTCGGGACCTGCGAATGTCGAGCAGGTATACCTTGAAGTCTCCAGCCGTGCAGACAACAGTCTCAAAACCAACTCAATCCGAAGTACCTGAATCTACACAAAAATGTGCAGAAGCGTAGCATGAATACACCACAATGGTACCCAGTAAGTATCAAGCCTAACCTCAGTAGAGTAGTGACGAGGCCAGGTCAAGACACCTACCAGACATGAAAACCTGTGTAGGATATATCATAAAGCTAACAAAGGAAAGAACATTAATGTAAGGCCAATAGCAGAAGGATCAAAAATTACAATCAACAGTGAAAATAATGGGAGCACAAATGGCAACGAGATACAACCAAGTAATTAAGCAACAACATAGTCGGGGTACAACTCAATCAGTCAAATCATTCCTTATGCACGAACTACAACATGAATTACCCAAAGTACCACTCTTCGTAATCTCAACTTATAAGTCACAACTTTCAAACCTCACACGTATGGCACCTTGTGCCCACATTTTCCAAATCACTTTCGCACGGCAATACCCACGTGCTACCATGTACATAACATCCATGTCAAATGCTAATAAAAATGTTTGAGGTATCTATTTATATACAATAAGTATAATTACAGTTTTTGAATTCAGTAGGAAATCAATGAAAAAATGAGTTTATTTTAGAAATTATTTGGGTGACGAAAATAACATTTTCAAATAACATAAAGCATC